TACTTTATATACTAAGGGTAGAGCAGTCCAGAAAAGTTATTTTCTTAAACGCTAAATCGATTAAAGAGCACAGATAACACAGACCTTCTAATCATATCACAAGAAGTTGAGTTTTGTATACGTGTACAAGCACTAAATTGTTTGGACATTATATTCATATGCCATTTTCTCCTTCTTTGGATTTATTTTCTTGAATATAATCATTAGACCAATTATGTCTAAATCAGGAGATTTAAGCTCGTGAACAAGCCTAGGTCGCCTTAGAGCGAAAATAAGTTAGGCCCAGCTAAAAGCATTATTGATTATTTAAACCATTTTGAATCTATATTTTCTAGTTTCAAAACATTTCAAGTCTCAAGATCAATCATAAATGTAACTCTCAATTTGGAGGTTGTTGATCCCTAGTATGAAAGCAATTCTGTGATTACCTACCAAACAGAATAGCTTTTAGTTTTAGAAAAGATCAATCATAAAGCTGTCATGAACTTGATGCATGCTAAATCTTCACTCAAAATTTTATCTAGTTTGAGAAAACATTAACATTTAACTTTAAATCAAACCTAAAAGAATACCTACCACACATAAATGTGACAATACACTTTAGAAGTCTACTATTAAGGGGTAATCAAAATAATATATCAAATAAATATAACTTTAATTGATGAATTAGCTAAGAGAAACTTTCCTAGCAAATGGACTGCGCCTATAAAACCCCATTGACTTGGCCTCATTTAAAATTTGCTACAACTTGGGCAAAAAAATTAGAGCTTAGTGAGTAGTTTAAATTGGAAAAGAAATAAACTAATTAAATAGTACACGACTCTTATATGATATTTGCTGCTCTAACAAATGAAAAATCACAAAACACATCACTCTAGATAATTATCAAAACAAATGTGCTAGCTAGCATATGTAAATTTAAAAGAAAAGGTGAGAAAATGAAAACGTAAGTTCAAATGAAAAAATAACACTATTGGCCTTGTTTTGAAACAAGCTAAATTGGTCCCCAAAAAAAAATTATACAAAAAGTTAATCCATTCTTTTTATATTTTGCACGTCTTCTTATAATAAAAAAATAACTAAAAAGTTAATTTTTAAATGAATCTTTAATGAATAATAATTCATGTAAAATGAAGAAGGGTCAATATACTTGAATGTACCATTTACTTTCGGAAATTTAAAAGAAAAGATATTTGCACTGAAAATTTCGTTCATCAAAATCATTAATTTGTCACATTTGTTCATACCAATGCTTGCATTTACAAATACGAACAAGTATAAAGTGATGGGTAATTTCGATTATAATTATGTTGTTTATTTTTTCATCATGTTACCATATTTTACAACCCATACCAACAACACTTGGTTCACATGATATCAATTTACCTAGTAGTACATCCAAGATATTGATTTTTTTTCTTTTTCATTTCAATATCGGTCATTTATTATTTTTTCTTCATTTGAATTAACATTGAATCTAAACTATAGTAATATTAATTGGGACATTACTGTCAAAAAAGCAAAGAACCTATAAATAGAAATACCTACACAATAAATTCCAACCTCTAACGGTACATACATGAAAAATGATCAAAAATTCACTATGCATGAAACGAAAGTGCACTATGCATGATCAAAACTGTTGTGAAACGAGATATGCAGAGTTTTACTATGCATGACAAGCTTTCATAACCAACAAAGAAAACAAATTCCAATCCTACATGCACATGAAAAGTGCACTTCTTCCATAATCCACACATACTATGAAAGAAATGAAATCATACCCGGACAGCTTGTACAACAGCCCCTTTTGTCGCAAGATCAGCAACAGTCCAACTTTTAACACCTTGAATGGGGCACATCCTCCTAATCTGAATGCCAATCTCATTAGCTCCTGGGGTCGCTAGCACACCTTCGAATGCATTGAATGTCTCAGTGATTGGAATGTGGAGCTTGTTCCCATTATTGTTGGCAACTCTTGTTGCTGTTGCTTTTCCAACTGTTGGTCCCCGCACTCGCCTTGATGAAGATGCACCTACATATTTGATAATGTTATTAGTGTATTTACTAATGTAAAAATATAAACAATGGATACATTGAAGGTAGATGAAACATATTTAATTACCTGCGCCACTTGTTTGACTTTGAGGAGATAGTGCCTGCGTTTTAGACAGAGTTGCTTCACAAATCTCAAATCCATGTGGTGCATTACTTTGAGACGGCGTTGGTGCAATAGTCTCAGATCCTGACAACACATTAATTTGAGACAGAGATGGTCCAATAGGCTCAAATCCATCTGCTGTAAGACCTTCCGGATAAGGTGTACATGTATCAGTCGAGGATGAGTAGGGTTCAAGTAATGCCCTCTTCGGTGGTGGTAAACGGCGCATCTTCTTTGCAGGAGCCATTCTGTTACATTTTAACATAATCAAACGAGAAGTGCACAATGAGCACATAGATAAGCACAAATTGTTAATGTGAACACATACATATACGTCAACAGTAATAATTAACAAATAAAAGAGCTGATTCTACATACATGAACAACATTTGAGTTGTAAATAAATAAATTACACTATTAATTTGGAAAACATACAACATATCTCAGCAAGTTCATATAATTAGACTAAACACATTTAATGTATGTCGAGAATTTAGTTCAAGTAGCCCAACAAAAGCAGCCAGCTACACTCAATGGAAGACTAATTCCAAGAATATTAGCAAACTAACAGATCAGCAACACTATTAGCAGACTAGCAGACTATTACCAGGACTAACAGCTTCAACCCTCAGACCCTCTTTTTAACAGACTAGCAAAGGTAGCAGCAATAATCTGAGTTTTTTTTTTTTTGTCAAATCCGGTTCTGAGCATGACAGAATGGTATAAGTTGAACTCTTATTTATGAGGCGCCATAAATAATAACTATATATCTTGTCTAGATGACCCAAATGAGATGTTAAGTAATGGCTCATAATATATATATTAAATCTTGCTACAATTGTCTTCCCAAAGCTCTTCATGAGACACATAACCCAACATTTTTCTGGGATCCAAAAGAGGGCTACATAATAATAATACTTTTGAAAATAATTGGCAAAGGTAGCTAGGATTTTTATGTTAGTTTTGTTTTGTGTTGTGATTTTTATGTTAGGGTTGGAAATTGGATTTTGTTTTATAATTTTCGATAGTTATGATGTCTTGCAGATCTAAAATGGATGTTGGGATTGTTGTTTGGTTGCCGGCTCCTGATGGCAGTGGAACAGTGGTGGGTTGGTGGCTCTGTTTGTGAGTGAGGAAGGAGATGAAAGACAGGGGAGAATGAAATGTCTATTTTGCCCTTGAAAACCAATCACATGACATGCTAATTTTCCATCCAATGTTTCTTAACCTCTATTTTTAGTTGGACCAAAATGACACATAATTCAAAATCTGGGATTAAAATTCAGTCAATTAAAACTACAGAGAGCAAACTACAAGGAATACTTGCGCGTAATTTATCCTTTTTATTCTGTTGTTTTTGAAGTTTGAAAAGTCTCATTGCTTTTATATTGTTTTCATTTTTTTTCTGCCTACGAAAAAATATCTTTGCAAATTTAGAAAGCAATTTGCAAGCCTTTCTTAGCAATTATAGGATGAACAATATAAAAACTTGATAAGTAGTTCAAGGGCTGAAAACTTAAAGCTTCAAAACATCTTGTACATATCAACATTGAAGATGAAAGATAAACATATACATATTCTACCCTTTTCGACATGATTGTGTTAGGATTAGGGTATTAAACTAAAAAACATAAGACCCCATATGTTTAGGACTTGTCTCCTAATGTTGTAATGTCTCACATTTGATTCACCAATAAGGGGATTAGTTGTGCGGACAGATTAATACTCCCTCAAAACCATGGGTTAAATTTCTCAGTGCCTCGGCATAATTAATTTCGTACAGGTACTCATCGGATTAACTTTCCTCCATCCCAACTCTTACTAAACATAGTACTGTAATTTCATAATAAATATAAATCCATCCAATATCCCATGGTATGAAAAAAAATCGGATCCACGGTATTAGCTAGACCATTATCCTTTCCCTTAAGGGTAAACATGACTGTGAACTTGCTAACACAATGGGAAAAGAAACTTCAAACTGAAAAATGATGAGCATATATGGTAAGTCCAACTTGGCTAAAATAAGATGTGCTACCCTGTCTCTTCATAAAAAATCAACTCCAACTTCTAAAGGATGGTATGTACGGTAAGTCCTTGTACAGCTTGTCATTTAAGGGTACTTTAAAAATCTCAGGAATTTATAATCTGTTAACCAACTAATTTGTTCGGAAATCAAATTCCAAATAACTTACAAAAGCACCCAAAGAAATTTTATTCTCATTAAGTATATTTCCCAATATAAACAGGGATACTTAAAAGAAATAGGAGCAAAAAAACACTACAAGAACATCACAGATTGGGGGACTTCACAAACAACATAACGAAATCTTATAATCGACATATCCCAGTAGCAAACATCAACACAAACATTGACAGTGAGAGGGAGACACAGGCAGAGACTGAGTTCATGAGAGTGATACAGAGGATTTATACCTGAAATTGATTTTAGGGCGAGTTGAAGATGCTCCGACAAATCGCGATGGTGAGGGCCCTGGTGGGTGAGACATTGTAGAACAAGACGAGTATGACAAATCAAAGAGAAAAACATGAGACAGAGAGATATAAATAGAGAGAAACTATTATAAGTATAAAAAAATACCTAGATGAATCAGAAATCCCCAAGGGTTTGTGACAGAAATGGCGAAGAGGGACGGAGGCGCAGACGGTGGAGAGGCGCTGACGGCGGACGGCAAGGTTGATGGTAAGGTCAGATGATTGGCGCGAATGAGCTTGATCGAATTCGCCTGAGGTCTGAAAGGGGCGCATAAGCATAATTTATGTGTGTTTGAATTGGTAAAGTTATCCCCTACGAAACTGATGGTCGGCTAATGAATTTTGATACCAAAACGACGTCGTTTTGGTATCAGCGACCAAATTGTTTTAGTCGCAAAAATAACATACACAGCTCCCTTTTAAATGTCATTCTCCTGCCCATATTTTTGGCGACCAATTCGGTAATTTGGTCGCAAAAAATTACTTAGTTGCGACCAAAAATTTTGGTCGGTAATAGTATTAATTTTTAGCTACAACACTTACTTTTGGTCGGCAAATGGCATTTTTTTGCGACCAAAATTTTTTTGGTCGGCAAAAGTGGTCGGCAAATGTGTAGATTCTTGTAGTGGCTCTTGACTAGGCAATCCTTCTTGACATGCCCAAATTTGTTGCAATTGTAACATTTTGGCTTTCCTCGAAACCAACAATCTTTATCAACATGATTGCTTTGGTTGCAAATTCCATACTTTGTTGAGTGGACTCTTCATTTTCCTTTCTTTGAAAATTAGACCTTCCTCTTCCTCTTGCTTGGGAATTAGAGGTACTAACATTGAGCTTGGATTGAAAGGCACTTTCAATTGACTTTTCAGATTGCCTACTCAACCTTTGCTCAAATGCTTTAATTGAACCCATCAATTCTTCAATACTCAAATCAGCAAGATCTTTAGTTTCTTCAATGACAGCAACAATGGGATTGTATTTCTCCGGCAAACTTATCAAAATTTTCTCAACAACTCTTTGATTAGTAATATTATCCCCATAAATTTTCATTTGGTTTACAAGTTCCATAACCCTAGAAAAATAATCCTTCAACAATTCCATATCCTTCATCTTTAAATTTTCAAAATCTCTTTTCAATGACTGAAGTTTGATGGTTCTTACCTTCAAGTTGCCTCTATACTCTTTCTGAAGAATATCCCATGCCTCCTTCTTTGCCCAATTCAGCACTGGATTTTCGTCCCTTTGTCTTTTCCTGTTATTTGGATGTTTTCCAAACGGCTTGTATGTCCCAGTCTGAATTTGCTCTAATATTTGCTCCCCTGATAACTCCAACGGTCTGCACCTAACCTCACTTTGTCCGTTAAACAACTTGCTCCTTCGCCATCTGTGGTTCTCGGGCAAGTAACGACGAGCACCTATGTACCCTATCTTACTTGTTAACCTTTGTGATGATGCGTCCTCATTACAAGTGGGACAAGCCAAATAACCTTTAGTAGTCCACCCGGACATGTTCCCATATGCAGGGAAAAATTTTTATTTAGGTTGAAAATCTTATTAGCAACAACCGTGTTCCCAAAAAATAGTATTCTGGAAAATGGAAAATTGACACTAGAACCAGAATACAAAAGAATAGAGTTTCATTGAAACACTATTACGGTTAAAACAAAATCGTCTTAACAGTATTGAAAGGCCACATGTATAACAATTATACTGAAAGAAAATAGAGTCCCACCACAATACTGATACAGTAAAGCAATTTTTTTTTATTTTAAATATAAACATTCAATACAAAAAACCAAACCAGAGTTTTAATGTAAAAGAAACCAAAGAAAAAAAAATAGTAAACCCAGAAATAAATATTGCAGGATTCTCTAAACTTAAAACCAAAATTTAACCGAAAAAGAGTTATACTCAAATACAAATTGGGGTAAATATTTGTAAACAAATGTGTAATAAATAAACCAAACAGTATAAACTTAGAGTTCTAATACATTGTATGTAAGAAAACAATTTTGCTAAAAATTAATTTTAACCTCTTCAATCTTGGTGTCAATGGAAAGTACCTCAATATCTTGTGAGGGATCTTCTTACCCTTTCCGTTGTCCAACTTGTATCTAGGCTCTTAACACTTGGGGCAATTTTCAAGATTTACATGCTCCTTCCAAAATAGTGCACAATCATACCTACAAGCATGAATGGGAACGTAGCCCAAACCCAAGTCACGTAAGAATCTTTTCGCAGCATATATGGTCCATGGAACAGTCTTATCACACTCAGGTAGAGTGTCCTTGAAAACTTTCATAACCATATCAAATGACTTATTGCTCCACTTGTCGTACACCTTAATGTGAAGCATCTTAATAATAAATGACAACACAGTGAACCTTGTGCATTCCGGGTATAGTTTACGTTGAGCATCTTCAAATAACTTATCAAAGTTTCGCCCATCCACACTCTCAAAAGTAGCAGGTAATTCATCCCGTTCATCATCCAATGCAAAACCCCTACAAACCTCTTCCAACATAGTAGCCAAATCATCCCCATCATCCTGATCTTCGCCTACAATTTCACTATATATGTCATGGTGACCTTCATTCGGTATGAGAGGTTCAACCATGGGAACAAGTTCCCCATGGTGCACCCAGGTCTTGTAAGAAAGAGATATCCCTCTTCGAATCAAATGAATCCTAACAACGTGGATCGTATGTTCTTTTTCATTCAAGCAATCAATACATGGACACCGAAGCTTAT